GTCAGACCTCAGAACTAAAGCTTTACTTCAATAAACTGCCAACCTGTGTGACCATGTGACTTTATCCAGGTGACACACACACACACACACACACACACACACACACACACACACACACACACACACACACACACACACACACACACACACACACACACACACCCTGGGGATCACCACGATTGATTGCGTAGTAGGGGGTACTTTAGGTTGGCTTGAAATGCTTTGGGGGTACAGTACTCAAAAAAGGTTGGGAACCACTGCTCTATACACTATATGAAGCTGCTTGGACTGAAGTGGTACCTGATGCTGATACACTGCCATGAAGGCTCACAGTGAAACAGGACCAGTCTCTTGGAATCATCAGTCAGCGCCACCAGCTTTCCGGAAGGAGAAACAGCAAAGGCAAGGACTTTGTCTGTTCCCGTTTCCTCTGAGGCACCGCCATCACTGAGAACAGAGGAGACAAGTAACAGCTGTTATAATGTATATTTTCTAATAAAATCTGTGAAACTTTCAGATATATATATATAATTATATCTAAGGGCTTCTCAGCAACTCTGCAGAAACCTATGGGTGACGTCACAGACACTACGTCCATTTATATATACAGTGTATGATATATAATAATGTATATGATATACACGACTGCTGCTTCCCCTCCTCGACTCCTCCGCTCGCATCTCCTGTGGGTGGGACTAAGACACGAGGATAGGAGGAGAGGAGTCGAAGAGGGGAACATTTGAATTGAGAAATGGCTTTAGTGTAATTTAAATATATCCAAGGGACTTCAAACAGACAAAAAAAACGGACCAAACTTGATTTTATGTATGCCATTTAATACTAGTGCAAGTTTGAGGCGTGTGTATGAAGGCCTAAGTGTGAAGAACATGTTTGATTTTTGATTGTTGTTTCAACATAATAAAATGCCAATAATCATATTATTAATAAAGCAACAACCAGAACATTGTGCTTACGCGTTACTGACATCCTTTGTATTGTTGGGCTTCTTCTGAGCGGTGCTGCAGTCAAACACAAAGGACTCTCTGCAATAGAGTAACAGATGAACGAATGTTGTTATATTCTTAACATTTCCTGTGCCACTGACTTTTTATGTATTTTTAACCATTCATCTAATAGCCAGCTGTAAACGCATTCATTATTATCTCATCTGGAATTATACTATAAATCTACTCTCAGCACTTTTGCAGAAGGTTCATTTTAGAATGACTCTTTTTACCCCGAGCAACTCCCTACAAATATATCACTATACACATTATACATCATATAATCTGTTGCTGAAGGCCAAAATTAAAAATATGTCAAAAATGTGCCACAACATCTTCACGTTTCCAGGTGTATTTGCAATTGTATATATTTAAATAATAATAATAATAATAATAAAACTTGAAATTATCCTCCATGCTTTCTTTCCAAAGACTGCTAGCTAGCTAACAGTGCTAGCTGGTAGTTGTCCGCCGTGTGACACAAAGGCATGACATGTGAAATACATGACACAGGAAACGAAGTTCAAACCTGGCTTGTTTGGTGTGAATTGCTACAAGTTTCTTGTCGCAGGTGAAAATAAACCACTCTCCACAGAAACCGACAGCAGGCATGGCTGCTGAGTGTGTGTCAGGCGACGATAGCACTAGCGAATGGATGTGACGCTAGCCCACGCGACAGACGTAATTTGTCGCTTGCTAATTACGTCAGCAGCCAAGCACAACACACGCCCCCTTCAAAAAGTACAGAATGTACACAAGAGAGCTGCTGTGGGACAAAGACAGAGTTAATAAACAAAATAAACACATTTAACTTCCTGTATGAAATAAACGCATTTCAGTTGGCTAAGCAACGTTACTGAAGCTACCATTAGTGAAGCTCAGCATCTTGAATTTATCCAATTTGAAAGGGAAAGTTGGCCATGCTAGTGAGTGAGAAGACCCTGCTTATTACAGTGCAGCGTCCACATATTCGCAGACTGTATAACATATGAAAACTGAATATGAAACACCTATAACATTATTAGCGACTTTAAAATCACACGACAAGTGTGTAACGGACAGCATGGGAAGGGGGCGTTGACAGTCACATTCATGTGTTACATAAAGAGCAGGATAAAGGACTGAGCCCTGTGCATGCTGCTGGGAGCCGTGTCTTGACCGTCCAGCTCAGGAGAACCGTAGAACAGCCTTAATTTTATCAAAAGGTAACTATAAATATCCACGTCTATGTGATAACACTTAATGTTTCTTGCACCACAGGTAGCTTTTTTTAAAAATCTCAGTCAGATAAAGTTGTAAAGTGTGCCTCAAATGCTTTTTATTGCGGTTCTGTTGTCATGCACGACGTTACGTAATATCATTCATTAAAGCTGCCATTGTAGATATGGTGAAGTATTGACTATTGTCTTCGTTTATCGTGTATTTATGAATCTCCCAGCACAGACAGGCTGAGAGGAAAGATGGCGGCTTCCTTGCTGAGGATAGGACGTTTAGGCTGTGTCAAGGTAACGTATATCATTTCTGGCGTTAACAATAAATGCATTGATGTATTTTCCAGTTGTTTTTGTGTCTGTTTCTTGTTTGTTGCTGCAGCTAACTAACCAAAACGATGATGTTCAGTCCCTGAAACTATTAATGAACAGTTTCGTGCCTAAAATTAGTAGGTCTTTGTTCAATTAACACTTTTGAAGTTGTTGCATTTGTGAATTAATACACTTGAATCTCGAAGGTCCGTTTACGCCGGTTGTTAACATCGTTATGGGGAAATGCAAGTCTGCGTCCAAATGGGAGAGACAGCAAGCGCATTTCGTGGCATCTGCAGGCAGTGGCAAGTACTTCCGGCATCTGCCACAGAGGCCGCTACTCCGTGGTATCTGTGGCAAGTATATGCCAGAGATGCCACAACTTGCCGTGGCATTTGCGCATGCTGAACGGGAGTTGCCACAAGATGCCAGAGATAAGAGAAGGTTTACGGTAGCTGCCACTCGCCTTCCGTGGCAAATGCTGATATTTAAACTCGTATTTATCGCGTAAAATGTTGCTGTTTTGCCATGACTTTATCGGACTGATCTGTACACAAGACTGATGATCTGTTACTGACGGTCCGATCACTATTTTTCAAAAAGATTAAACATGATATGTTCTATATATTTTACTTGGAGAACGTGGTTTGTTAAAATAAATGAACGTGCTATTTTTATGATAATACTAAAGATATATTATTAGTAAGTTGACATAAAGATCTAACATTGTTGACCAGAGGTGGGAAATAGGCTAACTTGTATACTCAAGTACTGTACTTGTGATTTAGAAATAGCCTACTTGTACTTTAGTTGAGTATGTAAATCAGGGGTGTCCAAACTACGGCCCGGGGGGCAAATGCGGCCCACAGACCATTTTGAATCGGCCCTCAGCTAATTAAAAAAGTATAATGAAATACGTCCCACAAATGAAACTTGTGCTTGTCTTGTACTTCTTAAATATATCTGTACACATATATTACACACTAGTATTCATGTGTTAATAAAACCACTTTTCGAATTAATTCATTCGATTAAAGTTGGAAACATTTTCTAACATATCTTAGTTGATAAGAAAAAAGCTCAATGACTTATTTACAAGCTTGAAATACACCCTTCCTATTTCTCCTTATTGTAATCAATGTGAGGCTTCTGCTTTAAGGGATGAGCTGCCAACACTCACATACTTTACCTACATTTGAGTTTTCTAACTTATAACTGAACGTATGAGGCAGTATACCTCTAGTGAGCGGCCCAGCCCTTCGTATATTTCTCTGTATGTGGCCCTCGGTGAAAAAAGTTTGGACACCCCTGATGTAAATGGTACTTTACGTAGTAGGCTACTTACCCCACTACAATTCAGAGGTAAATTGTGTAATTGTAGCCTACTCCCCTACATTTATTTAATACGCTACCTTTAGTTACTTACTACAGATTCTGATTAATGATGATACATATAATCAAGTCTTAAATCAGA